CCCTCGAATTCATTGTGAGGGGCCCCCAGTGACTAGCGAAGTATGGCTGCAGCAGCAGCAGCTGCTGCTGCTGCTGCTGCTGCAGCGCAGCTGCTGCGGCGGCCCCTCATGGGGCCCCCCGGGGGGCCCCTCTGCAGCTGGTTGGGGCCCCTATGTGGCAGCAGCAGCAGGGCCCCCAAGACCACCTTTTTGCTGCAGCAGCAGCAAAGCTGCTGCCGCTTTTCGCTCAGGCGCAGCCTCTGCAGCAGCAGGTGCAGCAGCAGCAGCAGCAGCAGCAGCAGCAGCAGCAGCTGCAGCAGCAGCTGCTGCTCATTTTACAGAACAGAGCTCAGATTCTTTTCTTCTGCCATGCTGGGGGGCCCCCCACTAAAGGGTACTGGCGTGCCCCATGAGGGGCCCCCAGGGGCCCCCCATTCTTCTTCAAACCCAGCCCAGGGGGCCCCTCTAAATGGGCCCTCAGGGGGCCCCCCAGGGGGCCCCCCAGGGGGCCCCCCAGGGTGCCCCCCTGGGGGCCCCCCTGGGGGCCCCCCGCAGCCTCCCGAGCCCCAGAAACCTAGAGGGTCCTTTTCTTCTGCGGGTCTCCCTGGGGGCCCCTCTGGGGGCCCCCCTGGGGGCCCCCCTGGGGGCCCCCCGGGGGCCCCCCCCCATGGGGGCCCCCCTAGGGCCCCGCCCCGTGGGGCCCCCCCTGGGGGCCCCCCGCGCCCCGGGCCCCCCCCTGGGGGCCGCTGGAGGGCCCCCCCGTCAGCCCCCCCGGGGGCCCCCTTTGGGGGCCCCCCCGGGGGCCCCCCGTGGGTCCCCGCGTGGGGCCCCCCGTGGAGCAGCAGCAGCAGCAGCAGCAGCAGCAGCAGCAGCGAAGGGGAGGTGCTGCAGCGAACAGCAATTCGCTGCATTTGTCTCTTTTTTGGATTGTGTGGGGTGGCTTTTGCTGCTGCTCCTCTTTATGCTGCTTTCTGCAGCAGCACAGGGTACGGGGGGGCCCTGGGGCCCCCCCCGCACCGCCGGGGGCAAGCTGCTGCTGCGCCGCTGCGGCAGCGCAGCAGCAGCAGCAGCAGCAGCAGCAGCAGCAGCAGCAGCAGCAGCAGCAAGGACGGTCAGTTTTTTGCCTCCTTTTTCCCCTTTTTAATCTTCTTTTTTGCCTCTTTTTCTTTCTTTCTTTTTTATCTCTTTTTTTAATTCTTTTTAATTCTTTTTTAATTCCTTTTTAATTCTTTTTTAATTCTTTTTAATTTTTTTTTTTAAAACTTCTCCCTTCAGCCTCTCTCTTTTGCTTCTTTAAATCCCTTTAATCCCCTTTAATTATTTTATTTTTTTAATTTAATTTAATTTGATTGATTTAATTAATTTAATTTAACCAATTTGTCTTAATTTAATTAATTTGATTTAAGCTAATTAATTAAGCTAAATTTAATTAATATAACACAATATAATCTAATTATTTAAATTAAATTATTTAATTGATCAATTAATTAACCAATTAATTAAATAATTAAATAATTCAATAACGAAGTAAATAAATAAATAGTTAATTAATTAATTAATTAGTGAAATAAATAAATAAATAAATAAATAAATAATTAATTTAGTTAATCAATTAATTTAGTTAATTAATTAATTAATTAATTAATTAATTAATTAATTAATTAATTAATTAATTAAGTTAATTAATTATTTAATTAATTAATTAATTAATTATTTATTTATTTATTTATTTAATTATTTATTTATTTATTTTATTTTATTTTTGTTTCAGAAATCCTGACAATTGACTTTGCTTCGCACTGCAACTTGCCCTGGAGCTTCCGGCCGCTGCAGCAGCAAATTAAAATTGCTCCTGGAGAAACAGCTTTGGCTTTTTACCGGGCCAAGAACTTGACAAACAAACCCATTATAGGTTTGCTGCTGCTGCTGCTGCTGCTGCTGCTGCTGCTGCTGCTGCTGCTGCTGCGGTCGTCTCAGCTTTTTAGCGGGCCAAAAACTTGACAGACAGAGCCATTATAGGTTTGCTGCTGCTGCTGCTGCTGCTGCTGCGGTCGGCCCAAAAACGTGACAAATAGACCTATTGTAGCTTTGCTGCTGCTGCTGCTGCTGGTGGTATTGCTGCTGCTGCTGCTGCTGCTGCGGTCGTCTCAGCTTTTTAGCGGGCCAAAAACTTGACAAATAGACCCATTATAGCTTTGCTGCTGCTGCTGCTGCTGCTGCTGCTGCTGGTGTTGGTGCGGTCTTTTCAGCGAGGCAGAAACTTGACAAATAGACCTATTATAGCTTTGCTGCTGCTGTTGGTGTTGCTGCTGCTGCTGCTGCTGCTGCTGCGGTCGTCTTAGCTTTCTAGAGAACCAAGAATTTGAAAAATAGGCCCATTATAAGTCATTTTGCTGCTGTTGCTGCTGCTGCTGCTGCTGCTGCTGCTGTTAGAGGGCAAAATATTGAAATGACAAAGCCGGATTAAGTAGCTTCTAAACCTGCTGCTGCTGCTGCTGCTGCTGCTGCTGCTGCTGCTGCTTGTCTTGCTGCTGTGTCTGCTGCTTTAGCTGCTCCTGCTGCTGGCGCTGCAGCAGCAAGGGTTAAGGGTTTAGGGTTTAGATTGCAGGGTTAAGGGTTAAAGGTCTAGGGTTACGGGTTCAGGATTTAGGGTTTAGGGTTTAGGGTTTAGGGTTTAGGGTTTAGAGTTTAGGTCCAAGGGTTTAGGGCTACGGGTCTAGAACTAAGGGTTTAGGGTTACGGGCCTAGAATTAAGGCTTTAGGACTGAGGGTTTAGGGTCTAGGACTAAGGGTTGAGGGTTTAGGGTTTAGGGTTTAGGGTTTAGGGTTTAGGGTTTAGGGTTTAGGGTTTAGGGTTTAGGGTTTGCATGCAGGCATGTCTGTCTACCACGTGCTGCCTGCGGAGGCGGCTCAGTACTTCAACAAAATCCAATGTTTTTGTTTTGAAGAACAACTTTTAGGACCAAGTAATTTTAATTTCTTTTTTAATTCTTTTTAATTCTTTTTAATTCTTTTTAATTATTTTAATTATTTTAATTCATTTTAATTCATTTTAATTCTACTTTAATTTGTTTAAATTGCTTTGTTTTCTTTTTTTCTTTTATTTCCTTTTTTTTTATCTTTTTTGATCTTTTGTTTTGTAGAACAACTTTTAGGACCAAGTAATTTTAATTTCTTTTTTAATTCTTTTTAATTAATTTAATTCATTTTAATTCATTTTAATTCTGCTTTAATTTGTTTTAATTGTTTTGTTTTCTTTTATTCTTTTATTTCCTTTTTTTTGATTTTTTTGATCTTTTTTTGATCTTTTTTTGAGTTTTTTTGCTTTTGTGTTAGAGAACAATTGTTAAGACCAAGTAATTTTAAATTCTTTTTTATTTTTATTCTTTTAAATTCATTTTTTATGATTTTAATTCATTTTAATTCATTTTAATTCTACTTTAATTTACTTTAATTATTTAATTTCCTTTTATTCCTTTTTTGGGTTTTTTTATCTTTTTTGATCTTTTTTTGGCCCTTTTTGCTTTCGTTTTGAAGTACAATTGCTGGTCTTTTTTTAATTATTTTAAATTCTTTTTTGTTTTTTTAATTCTCCTTTTAATTCGCTTTTTAATTCTTTTTAATTCTTTTTTAAAAATTTTAATTTCTTTTTTAATTTTCTTTTTAATTCTGTTCACAAATCCTTGTTATATCTTTTTATCTCTTCTCATTTTCCTTGTATTTATGTATTAATTAATCACTTAAATTTTTTTAAAATTAACTAATTAATTAATCACTAGTTAATTAATTAAATACTAATTAATTAATTAATTAATTATTTAATATTTAATTAATTAATTAATTGATTAATTAGTAATTAATTTATTAATTTATTTATTAATTTATTTATTTATTTATTTAATTTTAATTCTTTTTTAAAAATTTTAATTTCTTTTTTAATTTTCTTTTTAATTCTGTTCACAAATCCTTGTTATATCTTTTTATCTCTTCTCATTTTCCTTGTATTTATGTATTAATTAATCACTTAAATTTTTTTAAAATTAACTAATTAATTAATCACTAGTTAATTAATTAAATACTAATTAATTAATTAATTAATTATTTAATATTTAATTAATTAATTAATTGATTAATTAGTAATTAATTTATTAATTTATTTATTAATTTATTTATTTATTTATTTATTTATTTTTGATTTCAGAAGAAGAAGTGGATATGCCAGTTTTGTTTTTTGTGGACCCGGACATTCTGGACGACCCGCGTTTTGGTATTTAAATTTTATTTATTTTAATTTCTTTTTTTTAATTTCTTTTTTTTATTTTTGATTTCTTTTTTAATTCTTTTTTACTTTTTTTAATTCAGTTTAAAGCTTTTCTTTCTTTCTTTTATTTGCTGCTTTTATTTCACTCTTTTTGCCTTTTTATTTTCTTTTTTCGGCTTTTTTTTGTTTTTTATTTTCCGCTTTTTGTCCTTTATTTGTTATTTGTTTTATTTATTATTCAAATTGCTATTTCTTTTGTTTATTTTTTCTTTTATTGGTCATTTTCTTTCTTTGTTGTTTTTTTTATTTGTTACTTCTTTTATTTATTATATCTTTTACTTTTCTTTTATTTATTATTCTTTTATTTATCATTTCTTCTCTTTGTTTCTTTATTATTTTGTTTGTTTTATTTATTTCCTTTTTTCTGTTTTTGCTTCTTTTAATTGCCTCTCTTTCTTCTCCTTTACCTCCTTTTCAATCTCTTTTTTGTTTTTCTGCTGTTGCTGCTGCTGCTGCTGCTGCTGCTGCTGCTGCTGCTGCTGCAGAGCAGATGCGCCGCATCACTCTTTCTTACATCTTCTTCGAATCTGCTTCTGAGATCCCAGAGGAGTACAAACACCTGGCAATAGGCAAGTTGCTGCTGCTGCTGCTGCTGCTGCTGCTGCTGCTGCTGTTGCATTTTGTTGCTGCTGCTGGTCTTTCTTTCGTTGCGGCTGCCGGTGTTGGTGCTGCTGTTGCTGCTGCTGCTTCCGCAGCAGGCAGCTGCTGCTTCCGCAGCAGCAGCAACTCTAGTTGCTGCTGTGGTCTCTACAGCATTTGCTGCTGCTTCTGCTGCTGCCAGCCTTGCGTCTTCTGCTGCTGCTGCGGATGATCACACTGCTGCTGCTGTTCTGTTGCTGCTGCAGCAAAACCTGCACCGAACAAGACTGACCTTGTGGCTGTTTAAGGCAGCAGCAGCAGCAGCAAACCAATGCCTACAGCAGGTGCAGCAACAACAGCTTGCAGCTGCTGCTGCTGCATATCAAAACAGCAGCGCCAAGAAAGGCTGCTGCTATATTTTAGCCTTGTGCAGCAGCAGCAGCAACTTTGCTGCAGCAGCAGCATTCCTGCTGCAGCTGCTGCAGTAGATCTGAACAGCAACAATAGAACAAGTGCACATGCACAACCAATGCACTTGAAACGCAGCAGCAGCAGCAGCAGCAGCAGCTGCTGCTGCTGCTGCTGTTGCTTCTAGCTCTCTTGCAGCGCTTCCAATGGAACTGCTGCAGCAGCAGCAGCTGCTGCTGCTGTTGCTTCTAGCTCTACTGCAACGGTCCTACTGGAGCTGCTGCAGCAGTTTCTAAGTTTATTATTTCTACTGCTGCTGCAGTTGCTGCTTCACTTAATGCTGCTGCTGCTACTGCCGTTGCTGCTGCTTCTACTGGCGCTGCTGCTGCTGCTGCTGCTGCTGCTGCTGCTGCTGCTGCTGCTGCTCTTCCTAAGCAATACAAACGGAGTTGGTTTTAAAACTCTTGCAGCGGCAGCTGCTGCGACAAAGTTTGCTGCTGCGCACGCTGCTGCTCTTGCTGCAGTAAACTCAGTTGCTGCGCACGCTGGCGCAGTTCACAATTTTGCTGCAGCAGCTTAGATGCTTTTGCTGCTGCAGCAAACTGCGCTGCTGCCCATGCTTCTGCTGCTGCAGCAGCAAGACCCCTTCTTGCTGCTGCAGCAGCACCAGCTGCGAACGAGCCTGCTGCAGCTGCAGGCTCACCCCGCAGCAGCAGCGGTAGCTGCTGCAGCGAAGTCAGCTGCCGTGCGTGCTTCTCCTGCTGCAGCAAGTGGCAGCAGCAGCAGCAGCAGCAGCAGCAGCAGCCCTCTGCAAGCTGGAAGCTTCATCTATGGCTTTGCTGCTTCATTGCTGGCAGCAAGAGTTGCTGATGCTGCGCTCGTTACTTCTGCTGCAGCATCGATTGCTGCGGCTGCAGCACCTGCTGCTGCTCCTGCAGCATCAGTTGCTGCTGCTGCTCCTGCTGCGTCAGTTGCTGCTACTGCTGCTGCGTCAACCGCTGCTACAGCAGCAGTTGCTGCTGCCGCTGCAGCGTCGGTTGCTGCTGCAGCGTCAGTTGCCGTTGCTGCTGTAGCGTCAGTTGCTGCTGCTGCTGCTGCATCGGTTACTGCTGCAGCAACAGGTGCTGCTGCTGCTGCAACGTCAGTGGCTGCTGCCCCGGTATCAGCTGCTGCTACTGCTGCGTCGGTTGTTGCTGCTGCAGCATTTGTTGCAGCAGCAGCCGCAGCATCAGCTGCTGCTGCTGCTGCCGCTGCGACATCATTTGTTACTGCTGCAGCCACACCATTTGTTGCTGCTGCTGCACCATCAGTTGCTGCTGTTGCGGCTTCAATTACTGCTGCTGCAGCAGCTTGGGGCTGCAAATCAGGCCCCCTCTCTTCTGCTGCTGCTGCAGGGGTGGCAGCTGCTGCAGCGTCGGCAGCAGCACTTGCTGCTGCTGCAAACATTGGCGCTGCTGCTGCTGCAACGCTCTCAGGCAGTGCTGCGCCGCCTGCTGCATCTGTTGCTGCTGCTGCTGCTGCTGCTGCTGTATCTGCTGCTGCAGTTGCTAATGCTGGCTCCACTGCAGCAGCTCCTCCATCGCTAGCGGCTGCAGCGTGAGCAGCTGGCACTGCTGCTGCTGCTGCTACAGGAGCAGCAGCTGCTGCTGCGTCCTGAGCAGGTGGCGTTGCTGCTGCAGTCGCTAGCTCAGCAGCTGGACCAGCAGCAGCAGCTGCAGCCCCTGCTGTGGCTGCTGGCAGCAGTGCTGCAGCAGCAGCAGGAGCCCCTGCAGCAGCAACAGGGGCTGCAGCATTGCCTGCCGGTGCCGTGCCCGCAGCTGCAGCTGCAGCAGCTGCTGCTGCAGCAGCAGCAGCTGCTGCTGCAGCAGCTGCCTTCTCAGCAGCAGCAGCAGGCACAGCCAGCGGCAGCAAGGGGGCCTGCTGCTGCTGCTGCTGCTGCCCCAGCTGTCTTGCTGTTTCTCTAATCTGCGAAGCCACCAGACGGGCGCTGCGGGCGGTGCGCCGCAGGGGCCCCCCGCCTTGCTGCAGCAAAGCCTGCAGCAGCAGCAGCAGCAGCAGCAGCAGCAGCAGCAGCAGCAGTAGAGGTGGCAGGCGCAGCAGTGGCAGCAGCGCTAGCGGCAGCACGGGCAGCTGCAGCAGCGGAAGCGACAGCAGCGACAGTGCAGCTGCAGCAGCGACAGCAGCAGCAGCAGCGCTGGCAGCAGAAACAGCAGCAGCAGCAGCAGCAGCAGCAGCAGCAGCAGCAGCACTTGCCTGGACTGTCAGCAGCAAAGGGTCTTCTGTCTCAGGTATCGACTCCCAAACCGCCCTTGTGGTGTTGCCCACGCGGCGAATAACCTGCGAACGAGGGTTTAGGGTTTAGGGTTTAGGGTTTAGGGTCAGCAGCACAAGCAGCGTCTAGGGTTTGGGGCCGAGGGTTTAGGGTTTGGGGTTTAGGGTTTAGGTGAGAGCGCGGCACGCTGCGGCACTGCCCTTGCGGCGTAGAACCTAGCAAGTAGGGTTTAGGGTTTAGGGTTTAGGGTTTAGGGTTTAGGGTTTAGGGTTTACTCTTTTCCATTTCCGAGGCTGTCCAGGTATAAGAGTTAAAGTTGAAAACCTTTTTATGTCTCCCCTTGCTAGTCTCAATTCTTCTCCAGCTGGGGGGCCCCCCAGGGGGCCCCCAAGGGGGGCCCCCAAGGGTACATCCGGGGGCCCCCCGGGGGCCCCCGGATGTACCCCTAGGGGCCCCCCGGGGGCCCCGGGGGCCCCCGGGGGGGCCCCCGGGGCCCCTGCGGGGGCCCCCGGAAGCCCTTCAGCTGCTGCTTTTTCTGCTGCTGCTGCTGCTGCTGCTGCTGCTGCTGCTGCTCGTTCTGCTGCTACCTGCCAGCGGGTCTTTCCTGGGTAAACGTTTCGCCCTCTTGCACGGCCTCCGCGGCGGCCCCTGCAGATATAAGGGTTTAGGGTTTAGGGTTTAGGGTTTAGGGTTTGGGGTTTGGGCTTGAACTGGCTGGAGGAGGAGGCTGTGAAGCCCGGAATGAGCGGTAACAAGGGCCTCTAAACCAGTGTTCAATTAGGGTTTCGCAATGAGGGTTTAGGGTTTAGGGTTTAGGGTTTAGGGTTTAGGGTTTACCTCCCGCGTCCTTTGGCCTGTCCAGTTGTGAGAGGGTCTGGAACAGCAAAGCCCCCAGCAGCGCTGCCGGGGGCCCCCAGGGGGGCCCCCAAGGGGCCCCCCAGGGGGGCCCCTAGGGGGGCCCCTAGGGGGCCCCCAAGGGGGGCCCCCACGGGGGGCCCCCCTAGGGGCCCCCCACCCCCGGGGGCCCCCATGGGGGCCCCCGCAGCCAAATAGTTTGACAGTTCTGGGTCTAGGGGGCCCCCAATACCCTGAAAAGGGTTTGGGAGGGGCCCCCCGGGGTAGAAGGGCTGAGGGGGGCCCCCAAAGGCCTCTGGGGCCCCTCCTGCAGCAGCAGCAGCAAAACCTGGGAGGCCCCCATTTGCTGCTGCAGCACCGCTCAAGCTAGCGGGGGCGGGGGCCCCCATCAGGGGCCCCGGGGGCCCCTGGGGGGCCCCGTCAGGGGGCCCCTCGGGGGGGCCCCCCGGGGGGCCCCCGGGGGGCCCCCCCGGGGGGGCCCCTTGGGGGCCCCCTGAGGGGCCCCCAAGGGGCCATGCTGCTGCTTCTGCTGCAGCAGGATATGAAAGCGGCACAAGAGAGGGTAGGGAGGCCCCCAGCTGCGGTGAATCGATGGGGGGTGCTGCTGCTGCTGCTGCTGCTGCTGGTGTTGCTGCTGCTGTTGTTGCTGCTGCTGCTGCTGTGCTGTCCACAGTGGGGAGAAAAGCCCCTGGGGTCTCTGGAAGGTTCATTTGCTGCTGTCTTTTTGCTGCTGCTGCTGCTGCTGCTGCTGCCGCTGCAGGGTTGGTGTCGCCGCAGCTTTTGCTGCTGCTGCTGCTGCAGCCTTGCTGCTGCTGCTGCTGCTGCTGCTGAATCTGCAGCAAAAGCAAATGACTCAAAAAACAAAAGAAACCCCCTTAAACCCTTTCTATAACAGCAGGGAAAACCACAAAAATTGGGGGCCCCTTTGCATGCAGTTTGGGGCCCCCAGCCGAGGAAGCCCGTAAACCCTAAACCCTCACCCCTAAACCCTAAACCCTAAACCCTAAATCCACAAGAGTTTACTGAGTGGAACTTATTAACTAAAAGTAAGACATTTGATTTGCTCCAAAACCCTAAACCCTAAACTCTAGATCGAACTCATAGCTGCTTTCGGCGATGTGCAACTGAGGGTTTAGGGTTTAGCGAGGGTTTAGGGTTTAGGGGGGTTAAGCAAGGGTTTGGACCTTAGCGAGGGTTTAGGGTTTAACTAGGGTTTAGGGTTTGGCAAGGGTTTAGGGCTTTACTGGGATTAGTGGCCTAATAGGGAAAAAGCCCTCGCTTTACCCGCCTCCTGCTTTTTAGGGTTTATTGAGGGTTTAGGGTTTAGAAAGAAAACCCTAGGGTTTGGCTAGGGTTTAGGGTTTACAGCGGGTTTAGGGTTTGGAAACTGGCTAGGCCACGCATGCTCACTCACACTCTCACAGAAGCCTGCGGCGGTAGCCAGGGTTTATGGTTTAGCGAGGGTTTAGGGTTTAGCGAGGGTTTAGGGTTTAGCGAGGGTTTAGGGTTTAGCAAGGAATCAGAGCTTCGCAAGGGTTTAGGGTTTAGCTAGGGTTTAGGTTTCACAGAGGACTTGGCTGCTCCTGTCTTGCCCTTTCTTTGCCCCGCGTATACTCCAGCTAACTGCAGCTAGCTGCAGCAGCAGCAGCTAGCTGCAGCAGCAGCAGCTAGCTGCAGCAGCAGCAGCTAGCTGCAGCAGCAGCAGCTGGCCACCGTAGCTAGCCGGCTGCGGCTAGCAGCAGCTAGGTGCAGCAAGCAGCAGCTAGCTGCTATGGTCAGTCTGCAGCTAGCTGCAGCTAGCCACAGCGGCCGGCAGCTAGCCACAGCTAGCTGCAGCTAGCCCTAGCTGGCTGCATTTGGCTCTGGCTAGCTCCAGCTAGCCCTAGCTAGCTGCAGCAATACCTAACTAGCTGCAGCAAAGCCTAGCTAGCTGCAGCAATACCTAACTAGCTGCAGCAAAGCCTAGCTAGCTGCAGCAAAACCTAGCTAGCTGCGGCAGCACCTGGCTAGCTGCAGCAATACCTAGCTAGCTGCAGCAAAACATTGCTAGCTGCGGCAGCACCTGGCTAGCTGCAGCAATACCTAGCTAGCTGCAGCAAAACCTAGCTAGCTGCAGCAATACCTAGCTAGCTGCAGCAATACCTAGCTAGCTGCTGCAGCACCTGGCTAGCTGTAGTGGTCGGTAGCTAGCCACAGCTGGAGCTACAGCTAGCTGCAGCAGCGTCTGCTGCAGCAGCGAGGGCCAAAAGCCCCGAATAGACAACGGAAGCAATCAGCAGCAAATTGTAAGCTTGACAGGAATTGCTGCAGCAGCAGCAGCAGCTGCTGCAGCGGCTGCGCGGCAGTAGTTCCGGCAGCAGCAGCAGCTGCAGCAGCAGCTGCTGCTGCTGAAACCGAATACATGGGCTGCAACTGCGTCAAATGCTGTATTTCGCTGCAGCAACAGCGGCAGCAACAGCTGCAGCAACAGCTGCAGCAGCTGCTGCAGCAGCTGCTGCTTCATCGTTTCAGCACATCTCTCGTGCTGCAGCACGCAGTAGTTGCTGCAGCAGCAGCAGCACGCAGGCGAGCCCTACTGGCCTTGCCCAACTGCTGCTGCTGCTGCTGCTGCTGTGCTATGCAATAGGCTGCGGCAGCTGCTGCCGCAGCAGCAGCAGTAATTACAGGGCTGCAAGCAGCTGCAGCAGCAGCACACTTGTCCTCGCAGCCGGAGCAAAAGAAGCAGCAGCTGCTGCTGTTTTCGCTGCTGCAGCAGCTGCTGCTACGTTCGCTGCTGCAACAGCTGCTACTGCGTTCGCTGCTGCAGCAGCTGCTGCTGCTTTCGCTGCAGCAGCAGCTGCTGCTGCTTTCGCTGCCGCAGCAGCTGCTGCTGCTTTCGCTGCTGCAGCAGCTGCTGCTACTTTCGGTGCTGCAGCAGCAGCTGCTGCTTTCGGTGCTGCAGCAGCAGCTGCTGCTTTCGCTGCCGCAATTGCTGTTGTTGCTTTCGTTGCTGCAGCTGCTGCTGCTGCTTCTGCTTCCGCTGCTGCTGCTGCTTTCGCTGCTGCAGCAGCTGCTGCTGCTTCCGCTGCTGCAGCAGCTGCTGCTGCTTCCGCTGCTGCAGCTTCTGCTGCTGCTTCCACCGCTTCCGCTGCTGCTGCTTTCGCTGCTTCCGCTGCTGCTGCTTCTGCTGCTGCTGCTGCTGCTGCTGCTTCCGCTATTTTCCCTGCTGCTGCTGCTGCTGCTGCTGCTGCACTGATGCTGCCATTGGAAGCGCACTGTAAAGAGCAGCGCCCACATCCCTGGGCAATGCAGCGGACCACAGGTAGCAGCAGCAGCAGCAGCGGCTGCTGCTGCTGCTGGTTTCGCTGCAACCCAAAAAGGACGCGGCAGCAGACTATGCATCCGCTGCTGCTGGACGTGCTGCTGCTGCTGTTGCTACACGAAGGCTAGCATCATCAGCAGCAGCAGATTCATCAGACAAACCGTCAAAACTCCTTCCTCACTCTCCCCAACGCCCCTTCCAACCCGCCCCCACCTGCTGCTGCTGCTGCTGCTGCTGCTGTTGCTGCAGCAGCTCGAGGACTCCTGCTGCTGCTGCTGCTGCTGCGGCAGCAAGAAATGCGTTTCGCTGCGCCAAAAAGACCTTCTTGGATAGACTTAAGGACTGGCGCTGGGAGTTGGCGAGTCAAGCCTGGCCCCCGAGAGAGCCGCCGCCGTAGCCTTCCCGTTGCTGCTGCTGCTGCTGCTGCTGCTGCTGCTGCTGCTGCACTGACGCTGCAGCCACCTTCGTAGACTTCACAGCGCTAAACAGTAAATTAATTCAACAGCAAGTTAGACAGACGCAGCCGCCACGTCTGCGGTAAAGGACCCGTCGTTCCATCGCCTTCAGACCCCCAGTTGCCGCTGCTTCTGCTGCTGCTGCTGCTGCTGCTGCTGCTGTTGTGGCAGCAGCTAGCTGCCGCCGCGGAGCTGCAGCACCATGTGGATGGTGCAGCCGGGGGCCACTCGGTAGTCGCTGAGTTTGAGTTCGTCGCTCATTTGCTTCCCCGCGAAGATGAGGCGAATCTGCTTGCTGC